TGGGGATGGGGGAGTCCCTTCAAGCGGGGGCGGGGAGGGCGAGGACTGAGGAGGATCCTAATGCCACCTGACGGGCTCTGGTTACACTGCTGCGCAAGGACCTGGGGCGCCCAGCCTGCACCTCCCTCAGGCCAGACAGGGCTCCTCCTCCTCGCCCACCCAAGCAGCTTTCATATGCTCCTCCCTCACCCGCTCAGAGCCACCAGTGGGGGAGTCCCTTCAAGCGGGGGCGGGGAGGGCGAGGACTGAGGAGGATCCTAATGCCACCTGACGGGCTCTGGTTACACTGCTGCGCAAGGACCTGGGGCGCCCAGCCTGCACCTCCCTCAGGCCAGACAGGGCTCCTCCTCCTCGCCCACCCAAGCAGCTTTCATATGCTCCTCCCTCACCCGCTCAGAGCCACCAGCCCCCACTTGTACCTCTCCCCCTCCCCTCCCCCCGCAAAGCTGGATCCCGATTTTCCCAGGTCTGGAGGGTGACAGAGCCTTTTCTGAGCACCCCCTCCCCTTTCTCAGGACGGAGAATCCTCCTCAATCGCCCCTCTCCTCCCTGGAGCCTTTAGGGGCCCATTTCCCTCCACGTTCCCTAGTTTTCTAACGTTTCCCCGAAACCAGCGTCCTCCATTGTCCATCTTCCTCCCGAAGCCCCGTTTCCTTTTTGTGCTCCTCAGAGCGAAGAGCCCCCACTAATATTTTCAGCCTCATCCTAATCTCCCTAGGTTTGAGGAAGGAGAACCAAATCTTACACCTCCTCCTCTGAGTGCTTCCAGTGCCCACCTCCTCCTGTTTCTCCCTCTGGCCTGAGCCCTGTGTTCCCCTTCCCAGGAGAAGCCGGAGCAGGAGGACCCCTCCAAGTCCCAGAATGAATATGACAGGGCCGTCTCCATCAGTGCTTGTGAGCGAGGCTGCCGCCTCTTCTCCATCTGCCGGTTTGTGGCCAGGAGCTCCAAACCCAATGCCACCCAAGCTGAGTGTGAAGCAGGTGAGGGCTGGCTGGGTGGGCCAGGGTGGGGAGAGATGGCCCGGGAAGATTGCTCCCAGTCACCCCCTCCTGTTCCTGCTCCTGCAGCCTGTGTGGAGGCCTACGTGAAGGAGATGGAGCAGCAGGCCTGTATCGAGGGCTGCTGGAGCCAGAACCCTGAGCTGGAGCCTGAGCCGGAGACCATGCAGAAGGTGGGCACCCTCCCACCTGCCACCCTGTACTTATACCCCCTTCTTCCTACCAAAATCCACACTCATGACCGGAGTCTCCCAGGCTCTCTGATCCATTCTGGGCCTACTGGGTATCCTCGATCAAGCATATCATGTCTCAAGTCTCAGTTGTCATCTCTGTCCCCCCTCAGCCCCCCCCATTGCAAGAAGTAAATAATAGAAAATAGCCACCATTTATCAAGCACTTATCTTGGTCCAGATCTGACCTCAGCCTGTCCCAAATTCTTCATGCTGCCTGGAGGTACCAGGGACAATGTCATGCCCAAGGAATCCAAGGTCACACCGAGCTGTGCAGAGGTGGCACCTAAAGCCAGTGCCACCAGGGCTAATAATTATTCCCTCAACTAGGTCATCTTCCGTGCCACCAGAGCTCACTTTATCGAGCACCCACTGCATGCCAGGTGTTGATCTAAGCACTTTTCTAGTGGTGAACAGGTGGCCACTGTCATCTGGGGGGGGGAGTGGGCTCAGAACTGAGGTTCAGGGAGAAGCAACCTTGCAAGCACACACACAGTGCCCTCCCTTCCTCACCACCCTGGGGAGAAATAATAACTGCTCACTTATTAATAACTGCTCCCTCACAGTCATGAGTGAATCTAGGCACTGCAGCATCAGAGGAAACCGAGGCACAGGAAACAATTCATTATAGCCAGAGACCCATGGGCTGGGATTTCACAGAAAGCCCTTCTTCCCCCATTTTCCTCCACCCGCTCCAGCCTTTCACTATTCATAAAAGACAGCACTATCATTCCTTCCTATTCTGAGTTCTCTCCTGATGCCACCAAGAGAAGAAGAATGATGGTGGCAAAATTTTTAATAATAGCAGCTATTATATATTAGGCACTAGGGCTGTGCCGTTGTCTAGTTAAAATCTTGTAGCGACCACCTGAGGGGAGAGAATCATTCCCATTCTCGGGCTCAGAGAGAGCAATCTATTTCCCCCAGGGCACCCAGCCAATGAAATGCAGCAGAGATCTGTGTTTCCCCTATGAAGCCCTGTTGCCCCAAACCATTTAGTGAATTCCAATCACAGTGGACTCACCCAGCTCCCTTCCCGTTGGTCAGTGCCCTGCCTTAGTCACATTCTGTGCCTTCTCGGCAGAAAAAGGTCCTGGAAGCTCCGAGCAGGGCCCTTTCGCTCCTGGACTTGTTTTCCACCCTCTGCAATGACCTTGTCAACTCAGCCCAGGGCTTCGTCTCCTCCACCTGGACATACTACCTGCAGACTGACAATGGGAAGGTGGTGGTGTTCCAGGTGAGGAGCCTGGCAGGGGCCACACAGATCAGGGTGAGAAGGTGGGATACAATCATTCTGTGTCATGAGATACAAAGTCTACAGCTGATGCTTCAGGCACAGCTGGATCCAGGAGTTCAGTGTCTCACTTTACCACTTGATTCTACTTTCCTTTGTGGTGGCTTTATTCCCAGGCAAGCAGTTTACTCCTGATAGCAGGACGGATACTTAAGGCTCTAAATTACAACTTCTCTGGAGTTTTAATTAAGCAGGGTTTTACACTGATTGACCCCACCTCTCAGCCAAACCCTGTGATTCACTTGTCTTGGCCTGGATTATGTTCTTCAGGAGCTGGAGGCTGGGTTCAAGACAGATTGAGGGGCTCACAGTAGCAGGGTACAACATCCCTGACATCATAGCCCCACAGAAGACTGTCCTTCCTACACCCAGTGGGACTAGGTGCCAGCTGGGCATGGGACAATGTGGGGCACAGGAAGGTGCTTCCCAGAACTGAGGTGGTGCCTTTGGAAAGACCTTCTCTGTGCTGTCTTATTCTTGGTCCAGACCCAGCCCATGGTAGAGAACCTAGGGCATGAGGGGGCCCGTCTGCAGCGAGTGGAGGTGACCTGGAGAGGATCTCATCCTGAGGCCTTGGAGGTACACGTAGGTAAGGTCTGAGCCGCGGCCAGTGTTCCTTCCGTGGGTAGCTCCACTGCCATAAGGAGTCCTGTTGGCAAATGAACCCTCTAGGACTGGGATTTCTGTCTCAACTCCTGGGGTTCCATGGTCTGCTTAGCAGGGTCCCATAATCCATCTCCCAGGGTATCCTGGTCTGTTTCCTAGGGTTTCCTGGTCCGTCTCCCAGGGTTTCATGGTCCATCTCCCAGGGTTACATGGTCCATCTCCCAGGGTTTCCTGGTCCGTCTCCCAGGGTTTCATGGTCCATCTCCCAGGGTTCAGATCTGTTCCAGGATTCCATGACCTCCAGGTCCTGACCTCCTTTCTCCTCTCAGTGGCTGTTGTGGCCTCTAAGGGAAGGCCTGGCAGCCACTGAGGAACAACCTGTCTCTCAGACCCTTTAGGCCCCTTGGACAAGGTAAGGAAGGCCAAGATCCGAGTCAGGACCAGCAGCAAGGTCAAGGTGGAGTCTGATGAGCTGCAGGACAATGACTTCCTCAGCTGCATGTCCCGGTGGGTGGCAGGACCCTGGGGTGGGATTGGGGCCGGAGGGGAGGGTTCCCAGACCCCACTAGGGTCACTGAGTGTACCTGCCGTGTTGCGTAGGCGCTCGGGGCTTCCTCGCTGGATCCTGGCCTGTTGCCTCTTCCTCTCTGTGCTGGTGATGCTGTGGCTCAGTTGTTCCACTCTGGTGACTGCTCCTGGCCAGCACCTCAAGTTCCAGGTAGGTGGGGCCAGTGGGTGGGCCTGGAGGAGGGGGAGGGGAGAGTTGCTCCATAGTTCGGGATGGGGTTACCCTCTCTCCATGGAGGCAGGACCCTTTGACTTGCTGTGTGATGTGGGGCAAGTTTCTTCCCCCCCTTGTTAAATGGAGGGAAGAACGCCCCCCCCCGTCCTTAGTCAGAGTGACCTGAGATCAGGGGTGGGAAGGAGCCTTGCAGGGTGGGGCTCCTTAGCCTGCCCTCCCTCCTCTTCCCTTACAGCCCCTGACCCTGGAACAACACAAGGGCTACATGGTAGAGCCAGACTGGCCTCTGTATCCTCCCCCGTCGCACGCCTATGGGGACAGCCCCCCACCCTACAAGCTGAAGCTGGACCCGACCAAGCTGTAGGCCACCCTTGAACCACGTACAGCCAGGGGCAGGGGAAGCTCCATCCTCACTGCCCTGCGCCCAGGGGTCCAGGCCACGGTGGGACCATCCTTGGGCTCCTGCACCCCCAAATCCTCTCTCCCTGGTCCCATCCCTCACCCCTCTGGATCCTGGGGTTGCCATGCTGCCACTTGGGGGGCGGGGGTCTGGCGTTTGTTCCTCCCTGGGCCTCCTTTCCCTGGTGCCTGCTGCTTTTTGTTTTCTATTGTGTAGCTTCATGGGTATCGAACCCACGTTCTGTGTCGCCTTCCTCCTTCCTCCTCTCTCGCCTGGAGAGGGTGCATTTCTGAAGCCTCAGAGGAACCAATCGTCTTGTGCTAGGGCTCCCCCCTGTTTCCCCACCTCACCTCTGGAGATCCAGCCCCATGGGAGGAGACCCTCTCAGGAGGAGCTGTGGACAGCTCCCTGCTGGGAGGGTGGGTGACTACGGCTGGAGTTGCAGCATGGGGATCAGGAGGAATAAACCATGTCCATAAACGATGTCTTGAGCCAAGCTTGCTTCTGTTTGTCTTGGAAGAGTGGCCTGAGCATGGCCGTGACCTCTGCCCATCAGGCCCTTTCTGAGATGGGGGAAGCCCTGGGAACTCCCTGTGGCTCGTGTGCCCCTAGAGGTTGATTCACTTGGGCTCTCTGCCTTCTGCTAGAGTCAGCCATGGTGGTGGGAGGGGACGGGGGTGACAGGACCAACAGGAGATGGGAAGAAGGAGGAGAAGTTGGTGTTTCTTTCCACATGTCCCTCCCTTCACCCACCTCCATCAAGTGAGCCTTCAGCCTGGGCGTGGTAACAGCTCCCCTGGCTGCTTGTCCTGCACACTGAACCTCTTGTGTCAGTTACCCAACCTTGCCCACACCTTTGCAAAGAACCCCTTCATTACAGTGCTCCTGGATCTTCCATTCTCAGTGTCTCCTGCTGCTGCTAGGACCCTGCCTGACACCATGAGCATCAGGATTCAACATAGAGGCAATTTAGGCCCCCAGGTGTCATTCTGGGCCCGATTTGTGGTTTCAGGGCCGCCCCTGGGAACGTTGCCAGGAAATGAGACCTGGCCAGAGATAAGAAGTGGAAGCAGGCCAGCCCTGCCCAGTAGAACTTTCTGTGATGACAGAAACGTTCCGCCTGCACCACCCCCAGCCACATGGTGTTACAGAGCCCTGCAGTATAAGCTAGGTGGCTGAAGAACAGTATTTTTCATTTTCTTCAGTTTGAGTTGATACATATTTAAGGTTTTTCCTCTGTTTTTTTGTGGTGATAAAATATATAACTCACATAGAATTTTAACCAGTATTGAAGCATACAAATCAGTGGGATTAGACTCATCCACAGCGCTGTGCAAACATCCCTACTGTCAATTGAAATGGCTACCAGAACTGCTTAGCCCAACTGGGAGGGCCCCTAGTGGTCCTTTCTCCTACATCTCCACCCTGTCCTCTTCATCCCAATGGCTCCAGACACCTGGTGGCCCCTGATTCTTACCTATCCTCACTCCACCTTATCCCATCAGCAGGACCTGTCCCCTTGGCTTCCAGCCCACATGCTTTTCTATCACCATGGAAACCACTTGAGGTCCAAGCTACCACCTCCTCTCTGAGCTCCCTGCTTCTCCTCCAGCCACCTTCCAGCTCCATGCAGCAGCTGGGGAGCTGTCAGAATTATACAAATCCAAACCCAGACATCACCTCTTTTCTGGGTTTACTGCTGCCATGAGGAGCCCAAACATGTACCAACATGACCCCCCTACCCCCGCCCCAATCTGGCTCCATTAACATTAACCATTTCCGGCCCTGGCCTGGTAGCTCAGTTAGTTAGAGTGTTGTCCCGATACGCCAAGGTTGCAGGTTCGATCTCCCACCAGGGCACAGACAAGAAGCAACCAATGAATGAATAAATAAGTGGAATAACAAATGGATGTCTTCCTCCCTCCTCTTCCTCCTCCTTTTCCTCCTCCTCCTCCTCTTCCTCTTCCTTCTTCCTCTTCTTTCTTCCCCTCCTCCTCCTTCTCCTTCTCTCTCAAATCAATAAATAAATTTAAAAAAAAACACATTAACCACTTCTACAGAGACTGCCTGCTTCTCACTCACTATGCTCCAGCCTACTATGTTCCTTCCAACCCCAAGGCCTTTGCACATGCATTTCCTTCTTCCAGGAATACCCTTGCAGCCTGGCTCTGCCCAAATTCTTAACTAAATATACTCCTCAGCAGAAGACATCCCAGCCGTCCCAGACTGGGCTAGCATTCCCTGTTATACCCATGCTTAGTTCCCTATCAATCTCCCTGTGCTTCACATAGTAATTATTAAACAATTATAATTATTAAATAGTAATTACTTCAACATTGGTACAACATAATTTTATAAACTCCATGAAGACATCTTCCATGGGTCTCATAGACCAGTGGTCGGCAAACTGTGGCTTGCGAGCCACATGCGGCTCTTTGGCCCCTTGAGTGTGGCTCTTCCTAAGCCTTAGGAGTACCCTAATTAAGTTAATAACAATGTACCTACCTATATATTTTAAGTTTAAAAAAGGTGGCTCTCAAAAGAAATTTCAATCATTGTACTGTTGATATTTGGCTCTGTTGACTAATGAGTTTGCCGACCACTGTCATAGACGATGGCGCATGGAGCAGGGGATCAGTATGTGTGCTTGGGTTTCTCCTTGTTTCCATCTCAGACCCCAGAAGCAGCCTCACCCCGTCAAGTCCATCCCCTATTTGGGGTCAGACCATGTCCCTTCCCTACGGACTCCCATGACTTCCTCTTGCTCTCAGACATCACCTAATTCCCTCTTAAGGGCTTTCAATACTTGCCAACTGGCAGGCACCTCTCCTGCTGTGTCCCTCCCATCTTTTAGTCGATCAACAAAATGGGCTCTGTCCTCACTGTTCCTTGCAGTAACATCAATGGTCCAGCTTCTGGGCCTTTGTTACAGCAGCGGCTCATTCCATTGAGAATGCTATCATGGACTTGGTAGGAACCTACCTGGTACCTGTCACCCTCTTCTTCCCTTTTAATAGAACTCTGGTTTGCTTTGACCAAACCTATGTGGCTCAGGGGAAGTTGAGCAGCATGACCCAAGCCTCCTCTAGTATTGGTGGGATTTCTTGGGAGTGTGACATGCCCTGTTAACTGGAGTTGCTGAGCTGGGAAGATATGCCTGTCTGGAGCTACCAAGGGTCATATGTCACCAAATGACAGAGCCTTCCAGACAGATGGAGAGAGACTGTCTTCATGACATTGCTGGAAGTCCTGGATCAAGCTGTGCCTGAAGCCCACACTGCCTCTTGATTTGTGGCTTATGTCAGTTTGCATTGAGCTTCTTGGAACTCAAAAGTTGTGACTGATCTCTGAATCTTTTTTCTACCTTCTCTCTCTCAAGATTGTGTTTTGTTTGTTTGCTGCTGTGTGTCTAGTGCAGCCGTGGGCAAACTACGGCCCGCGGGCCGGATCCGGCCCGTTTGAAATGAATAAAACTAAAAAAAAAAAAGACTGTACCCTTTTATGTAATGATGTTTACTTTGAATTTATATTAGTTCACACAAACACTCCATCCATGCTTTTGTTCCGGCCCTCCGGTCCAGTTTAAGAACCCATTGTGGCCCTCGAGTCAAAAAGTTTGCCCACCCCTGGTCTAGTGTATCAATTCTTAAAAAAAATTTTTTTAAACCTCATCTGAGGATATGTTTATTGATTTTTAGAGAGAGGAAAGGAGAAAGAGAGAGAGACATCGATCGGTTACCTCCCATATGCACCCCGATGGAGGATTGGACCTCGACCCAAGTATGTGCCCTTGACCAGGAATTGAACCCATGACCCTTTGGTGTGCAGACTGATGCTCTAATCACTGAACCACACAGGCCAGGGCTCTAGTATATTAAATCTCAAAGCTCTGGTGACCAGCCCAAGGCTGGGCCAAGAGTGAATGCCTCGTAGATGTGGAATTAATAATGCTAGGTGGTGAGGGTAGAAACCATGAGTGCTGTGGATGTGTGGAAAGGGGGACAAGTCCCTTCCAGGAAGGTGATGTGATGGCTGCCTGGAAGAGGTGGCAGCTAACTTGGGCTTTGAGGATGGATAGCATCTGGGGAGAAGGGAGGTATGTCCCAGGTGCATGAGTGTGTGTTGGAGGTGTGTGTGTTCCAAGAAAAGTAATCCCTGCTCACATCACCTGCCCTGAGGGCTTCACTGGGAGAGGGGCCCGAGTGCCACGCAAAGGGCTTTGGGTCCCTTTTGGGGTTACAGGAGAGAGAGGGCCTTTGCTTCCATCTGGGGCTCCTTTCAGGGGTGAGGGCTAGCAGAGGTGACCTTGTGAGGAGCCCTGACTCACCACAACTCCCTAAGCCTCAGGGTTCTTCTCTGTTCTCCCAGTTCTTCCAGGCATCTTGGCCCTTCCTCCACCTTCCTGCTGTACCCAATGCAGACCTGATGGATGGTGGGTGGTGGGTGGTGGCTGGCATCATGGCAGTAGTGCTCATGTGTCCTCATAACACAGGGTTGTCATGGCAACCGGCTGTCCTGTTTTCCTGGAAACAGGCTTGAGTACTGGGCCCTGGGAGGTAATCTGCTGAGGAAGGGAGGGAGGCAGTGAGGTGTCCCTGTAATACTCACCCAACGTCTGCAGGGAAGGATGGGGACTCATGTTTTTTGTTTTTTTTTTAATTGATTTTTTACAGAGAGGAGGGGAGAGGGATAGAGAGTTAGAAACATCGATGAGAGAGAAACATTGATCAGCTGCCTCCTGCACACTCCCCAGTGGGTATGTGCCCGCAACCAAGGTACATGCCCTTGACCAGAATCGAACCTGGGACCTTTCAATCCACAGGCCGATGCTCTATCCACTGAGCCAAACCGGTTAGGGCAGGGGACTCATGTCTTTATCTTCTGTTTATGTGTGGGAGGTGCAAGTTAGGCCCCCCTGGGGGCTACACAAGGTCCTGCTCAAGGCCAGGCATCAACCCAATAGGGACGCTGAGGCCTCCAGGGGTCCTGTGTCATGTGACTCTGCCCATCACCCACTTCACACCCAGTCCTACCAGACTCTGCAGGGCTCCTGGCACTCTCCCTCCTCAAGGTCCCCAAACAGGCTGTCCCCCCTTTTCCTGGAAGGCTCTGCTATCTTCCTGGCCAAGTCTTCAGCTTGAATGTCCCCCCCTGCCCTCCTGGCTCAGCCTGGCCCCCCTAAGTAACTATGCCCCAACTCAAGCCTCTATCATGTTGACAATTATATTATTGCTTCTTTGCTTGTGTGATGATTGGTTTAATAAATGTTCCCTCTGCCAGATGTGACGCGCGAGCAGTCTCAGTCACAGCTGTGTCCCACACTCCAGGAGGCTGCTCTCAATACATCTTTGTCAGCACTCTCCCTCCTTGCTCCAAGCTTTGCCCATGTCACCCCAGCCAATGTGGCTTCTTGTCTCTATCTCTTAGGCTCTTTCTGGCATCAGCTTAGGGGCCTACACATTACTTCCACCTGAAACGTTCTG